TATTTAATATAGCGGTCACGGATGCGGTGTACATTATTTTGTTGCGATCGGAGAACCACTCTTTACGTATCGAAACTTTTGGCATATATTTTGGTATTTTTTCAGTTCACGTTTCACTACAACTTAGCCCATTGGTGTACGCACGCTATAGTGTATATATTTGATTCTCAGTTATGATATTTTGTAAGAAAAATGGTAGTAAAATGGTCCTGTAGCATGTTAATACGTACATATTTTATTTTTATCGTTCAAACGAGTCATTTTTTTCAATTCGTGCATTTCAAAATACGCGCAATCCATCGAATGCGATAAGCACATAATTGTCACAGAACACTCCACGATGAGATTAATAAAATCTTAAACTTCTTTCTAATGGTCTCGTCAAGTGAAATAATAATAATAATAATAATTTTATAGTGATTTATAGTGATGTGTGGGGGGGGGGGGGGCAGACCATAAATCTTAAAAGCAGTAGGATTAAAAGTCTGGCTCTTGTGTGACGTCATCGAAATGGATTTTGGCGCGGCGCATGGCAACCGCCGGATGCGAGCAAAAAGCTACGGTGTATATAATCATTATGAACTTTTGCCCGAATCCCTCCGTATAATGCGCGTACACAGAGAGCATTGTTAGACGTATATATATACATATGTGCTCGTAAGTTCACACGCGCAAAGTTTACAAACGTCGCGCCGAGTCGTATAAACGTGATCTAAATAATTTTCGGCCTACAAATTCCGCGCGGCGTTACACGAAACATAAATTATTACCTAAATCATGGGTTCTCAACCTTTTGAGACCCGCACACTCTTTAAAACTATTTTATGAGTACACGCCCCACCCCTTACTACTCTAAGATTGATGTATGTATAATATTTATATTTAAACTATACTTTAATGTTGGCTATTAGATTGACAAGAATACAACTTCAATGAAGTTTTTTTAACATTAAATTAATTTATTTGGATAAAAAAAAAAATCGATCACGGCCACCACCAACATAGCGGCAAGGCACGGCGTAGAAGACGGCAACGTTTTCATTTTTCGTTATTTTTTTCAATATTTTCACGCCCCCACTGAAATGTTGTCATGCCTCCCTAGGGGGGCGCACCTTCCAGGTTGAGAATCACTGACCTAATTCATGTGTATACGCAGGTACTGCCACCGGTCCTGAATATAATATTTCAAAACGTCTGCTGGTGGACATCATGCGCACACGAATGCATTGTTGTGTTACATTGCGGCGGTGTGTAATAGTTGTAGGCAGAGCAGGTATAAGTGTGACACGTACGTGCGTACCACTGCGTCGCGACGGAAGTGTACACCACCGCTGCGTGGAGTATGATGTTCGGTGTAAATTTATGCGAAATGGCGATCGGAAGTGACTTTGTACAGTCGTTCCGGTTCGCCTACGGGGGCGTATAACTAGACGGTAAAATATTGTAACGGGCATTTTCGCGACACGAAAAATAGATAATAGCCTAACCTAGAGCGCATTTCATTCTCCTACTACGTTTCGTTTCTGCGACGTTCGACCATCAACGATTTATGTACGTTATGTGTACAGCGCAGGTACATTTTGCATATTTTACGTAAGATCCGAAACGCACGCGATTGCATTCCGCCTGGGAGTTTTTCCAATAGTTTTCCCTGTCGGACGATACGTAACAGTAATTTTATAAACACATATCGTGTTTTTTTTTTTTTTTTTACGTTTATTTATCCAGCCATTATTATAATTAACATTACGAAAATTAAGTTGTGTAAGTCCGTAACAGTGTAAGGAAGGGGGCAATTATATATTCAAATTTAGATAAGGAAACCACTATTACGGACGAAGAAGATAACAAATTATATGAAAGAAGGGGTATAAGGATAATCTGGAGAAAAAAAGGTGGAAGCAGTCAAAAACGATATGGTAGAAGTTGTACTGAACTTTCTTGTATGCAAGGAACATAAGAGAAATAATGAAAGATTGGAAAGGTTAAAGATGACGACCAAATCGTTGCTGAGAAAAGATCATCACAAAAAACTGGGCCGAAAGAAAAGAAAATCATGGTCATGAAGATGGTAGTAAAAAGTCATGTAATTTCAGGCACGTAAATAGGTGATTATTTAGGGAGTAGACGTGATTTAATTTTCTTCAAAATGATTGGGGCTTAAATAATGTACAATAAAATGGTATATACCATATATCTTAATTCGTGGTTAAAACAATATGATTCGTGACCATTCAAAAAGTCAATATGTTATGGTTTTGAACGTCGAATCAAAAAATACTTTAACTGTACCTAATTTTTTGGTTGTGAGAAATATTGTAAAAAGTATCAGTGACTTTTATGTGGTTTTATTTTTATTTGAACTGAAAAAAATATTTAAAAATATGATTGAATTATAATCCAGTTGCCTAATTTCTGTTACAGAAATTCGATTATTACGTTTACGATAAAATCGTCTCAGTTTTTATACATGTGGGTATGATTCAGAATTTTTTTTTCTACCAAATATTTATCTTTACTTAAAAATTATAATTTGATTTTTAGTCGTTGAGTCGATAAAATAAAACTTAATTCACTTATCATTATTAGGACAGTATATGTATTGCAATTAGCAGGTATACCCTCGCCGAACAGCTATACGCGGTCGTTTATACGCGTATAAAAACAGTATATTTTATTCGTACTTGTAACGAGTTTCACATATCTTCCAGTTTGTTATTAAATATTGAAATGATTCCTAATGCTCCTGGCGAACATGCCAGGATTCTCGGGGTACAGCATTTTATAAGCCCTTTAGGTTTTGATGTGTTTGCCCTGCTGATTAGTACTATAAGAAACAAATGTAGGACTTGAATAAAAATTGTTATCCTTCGTGGCTGTAATATGTTTACATTATCCATTGGAAATACTTGACCTTATTCTATTGTACATTGAGAAAAAGAGACAAAGTGTCCACTTATTGTATTTATGTCGTCAATAAAAATCCCACCAAATATCCACACATTCTTATTTCATTGAGTAACATAAAATGTTATACAATTATACGTCAATTATACGTTCTATACGTCTATGTTTAATATTATACAGAAATTATCGCGAACGCATTGTCATTTGTAACTCCCGATAATATATCTGAATTCTCTTCTCCCACAAGCTCGAATTTTGATAAATTAGCTCAGTAGCCGAACTTCCTAAAAAGTGTTGTTAAAACAATATTTTAAATGATTATAGCCCTAGGAATACTAGTATCTCGGAGTTTAATGTAAATGGATTATGTATAATATCTTATGCTGTTCAAAATCATATTTGATCTGTAAATTATATTTGATAATAGTATTTTTTTTTCAAAGTCCCGTACCACTGAGTTAATTTTTAGTCAGAACTTAGATCTCGGTTTGTGGCCACGAGTGGTTACAAATTTTAATGATGATTTTGGATAATAATACATTATATAATAATCATTATCGATCGATCACAACCTACGCTTATGTACGCAAGGATTATTAATAACGTATAGTATCATTTTGCCGATAAAAATATACATTACTTCTACATGGTTATTATGGTACACAACAATTTATCAAACACAAAAAGGCCTTCTTCACGAAGACTAAATAACACACTATTCGACGAATAAAAACACAATGCGCGGCACCGTGTACCAATAAGGAGATAGGGACACAAAAAGGCAGCTTACCAGCCACCCTTTTGCGACAAGATTCTGAAGAGCGTACCAGGAGAAAGGTAAAACCAGGATATTTCCAATGAGACCAACCTTAACTCCGTGCAAGAAACAACGGTGGAGTTATATATAGATATGTCGAGAGACAAAAGCACATAGGAAATCGCCGTCCGTGATAGTAATCTTTGGTCGGGACGGAAACTATTATAAGACGTCATACATCTCCATAGAATATTTCTACGTTCTCTATAATGGGTCAACCATTGTTTACTTCAAATCAGATAATCCACAATACCACCTCAGCTTAAAGGAGTTCTGCGAGCAGCTAGCAGAAAATATTAAAATAAAAATCAAGAATTCACACCACAGCCACATCAAAAGCATCCGTATCATAAACAGAAAAAGATTCACAATCTAATCGACTTCTAAATTCAAATAACAAAATTGTAATGATGTCCATCATTCGATTGTAAAAGACAGCACAAATATTTTATTATGTATACTATTTATATGTACGTGATTTTTAAAACTACTTCAAATAAATAAATAACGGTATTTTCGATACCTGCGTGAAGAACATGAGTCGAACAATAAATATTATTGAGATCCCTACATTCAAAGGACCGCCCAAGATCCATGCCGCCGCGTGTCCCTATATAATAGGGACACACACCACCCTTTACAGAGCTCTTGATCTTAGGTCGTTAGTGCATGCGCACCGATCGTAAGATCAACAAGAGTTTATATATGCGATTTATTTTGACTTATAATTTTAATCCGTTCGACTTGTGTTTTTCGTACGAGTATTGAAGAGTATCTGGATCCAGTGCAATTAAATTCTGCATTTGTCCTTTTTCTTTCAACCTCGACATCTGAAGGTCTACGGAAAAATAAGTAAGTTCTGTTTTATTTAGCTTGGCAGACTGTATAATCGCGCTGATCGGTTCTCGAACTTTCTTAACCCTGAGAGCCGTCCCTTGAACAAGAAGGAAGGTAACAACCCTTTTATACATTAATACCTCACCGCCATTCACATATATACTATCTCCCCCATCTTACATCCCACTCATCCTTACTTTTCCTATTTTTTTTTGTATTTTTGGTTTATTACAAAATTCAAATGAAATACAAATCACGATTATATCCCAACAATATAACAAAGAACTACAAACAAAGTAAAGCAAAATAATGTTATCTTTATCTCTAATCAGACTCTTTCAATCAATTTCTTAATGAAATAACCGAACAGAACGAGAACGACGCCGCCGGTTGGAAAACGGTGACGACACCAACGGATGAGAATTAACAGTGACTGACGATGATCGATGACGGTGGACAAGGATTGACGCTGACCAATGTGGACGCAACAACGACGGTGGTTGAGAACGGCGACCGGTGAATATCCAATATCGATCGACGACGAGGGCCCACTTGTTAGCTGGCCAGCGGTCTACCACTTTCGGCCGAATCTACCGTAGTCCGCAACACAGCGCGAAAACCGATTTTACCAACGGCTTTACCAGTGCTGTCGCAAGGTTTTACGAGGCCCTAGGAAAAATCATTACGATTTCCTTATATTTAATTCAGGGACTAAAATTGTGAGCAGTACGACACACTTTGTGTAATACGAAACGTTAAGCGTGTAGCATGGAATTAAAAAGTGTGTTGTGGTTCTATTTTCTATATTATGGTATTTGTTTTTAATTTTACATATTTTTGAAAGGGGAGTATGACAAAATCACTTAAGTGTGCAGTACGAAAAAGTATATATTTGAAAATTTTATTATTTTTCAAGTACTATTTATTATATTACACTATGAGGGTAATTAAAAGTATTTATCATAAAAAAATATAAAACAATTAAAGTTTATTTAAAATATACCTTACGGAAAAATAAAGAAGATAAACAGTGTGCAATTCGTTAACGATTCGGAATATGATTCAGCCTAATTTCGCACTAATAACTATGTATGATATATAGGTACAGAACAGCGCTCAAAACAGTCAAACTTTGGTTTTAACAATGAATAGAAAAAAACAAAACGTGTATTAATTATTTTTATTTATATAGCTTACATATACATTTACAGAGGTACGTAATTTATAAGAAAAAACTTTCGAATCGGTATTTATTTATTTATTGAAATAATATACGGGTTAAGACCCAATTACATGAATACATTTTAAAAAAGCTTTCGAGAAAATTATTAAAAAAAATACAGAATAAATTAAAGTTTAGTTCAACAAAAAATTATAAAATAAAATACAATTAATATTAAATAAACATATTAAGTTATATGTACTGTTAGTTCAGCTGAAATATGATTTTTATAAAAGTTGAAGGAAGTAGAAAAAAAAACGGATCAATATTATAGTTATTTATAGAGTTCATGATTCTCAAGAGTGGTGTGTTAGTTGCATAATTTGTAGTTTGAGATTTTAAATAAATTAGGTTAGTTGATCGGGTGTGAGCTGGGGAAACTTTGAACGACAGATGAGATAAGAGGTTAGGACAATCAATATAACCATTTAATAACTTAAAAATAAAATATAAATCAAGTTTGATTCTACGTTGTTTAAGGGATTCCAGATTCAGATAAGTAAGTAAAGGATGGTAAGATGTATGGGGAGTTCTAGATATATTCAACTTGAAAGCTAAAAACCGTAGGAACTTGTTTTAAACTTTTTTTAGAGTATTTATTAATCCAGTAGTATCCCATTGGTTACATAACATAACGATAAAAATGTTATAAGTCCAATTTTCCAAATGATGGATCTCATTTTCAATTAAAAAAAAAAAAAACACTTTGTTTTATTTTATTTTATACATGTATATTATTTGTTCTTCTTGTAAAATCTTTAGGTCTTTTAAATCCATCGAAAACTTAAATATAATTCCGAATTGTGAGTGGAAAAACTGCAGTCCTTCAGCTGGCACATGCATTGATATTGTTGTGTTATGCCAACACGTAATCAAGATTCGTGTAACGATAAAACTATCTATGATTAATAATATTTATTGTGAGCCACGAGAAAATTCCGTTATGGGTATTTCGGTTTTCGATCCTTTTTTTCTCTCATCGTTTTCCATATTTGTTTCATTTTGATTATTTTTATTTTAGTGTAGTTACAATTGAATGTATACCTTTTTAATATTAGTTATTTGTATATTGTATTGGAACAATATTTAATTTTTAAAAACTTTTGTTTTTTTGGTTTTTTCTTCAAAGGATTATTATATGCTAGATTTTATGGTATCAAAAGAAATTTACAGATTTTCTTTTCTTCATAATAAAAATATTAGATAATAATATATTTTATTAACAACGTTGCGGTTTTAAACGCTTCTTTGTATTAACAGTACCGCCCATGTACGAACGTTGTTTCATTATTCATGTTTCGTCATAACTGTAGCAAGAAAAGGCATAATCACAGACTACGTCATTGACGACCGTCCACTGTTGTATGAAAAAATTTTGTTGCTCATCCATTTTGGCGTTAACTAAATCGAAAGCGGTGATATTGTGCTGTCTATCACACGTGCAACATAACAATTTAAATGTATATTTTCATTCCAATCGATCAAGTGAAGCGACGAGGAAAATAAAAACGGATTTGAGTTCATTATCAAGTTTTATTTTGATGAAAATCCCCAATTTTTATTTTATTTCCTTAATTCCTACAAAATATAATTAAAAAAGTTAGAAACTCAATAATCAATAAATTTAATTTTTTTCGAAATTTGATCTAAAGAAAATATAAAGACGAATTCAAATCTGCTTCCGGATTCTGTATCACTCGATCGATTGGTTCGTTTAAATTAAGATTTAAATTGTTATGTTACGATAAACTTTAATAGAAAATAAGTACTAAGTCGAAGACGTGTTGTCGGAACTCTAATAAAGACTGAGTGATTCACAGGTTGGTGACCTCTGATCTAAAACGCATTCACATGACAGGTACACATAAAATGTTAGCGGACTGTAATGATGTGCGTTTAAACCATTATATCTTTTTAGATTCAATATATATATATAAAATAAAATAATTACAATAATTGTTAGTCGTTAAGAATAAGATAAGACACACACACACACACACACACACACACACACACACACACATACATACATATAATATTAGATATAAGGAGCTCCGTTTTTAGCCACTGGGCCATACGCGTTATTATTGTCTATTGGTGTAGACGGTCAAAAGCATTGAAAGACTACGCAGATCGTCTATACAATAAGGTATATTATATGTTAATTGTAATGTTTAAAATATATGTACGTTAAGATATGTTGAAGAAATTAAATAAATTAATAAGTATTATTGTAAATTAAAGAAAAAAGTTTTTCTTGCTTTATTGGTCATCACATTTAACACCTCATATATTGGCTACGGTTTCAACAGGCAAGGATCAGAGAGGTAATATCATTTAATTTATAATATAATAGTTAATGAATAATTGATTTAAAGACATATAATAACCCACAGTTAATTTATGTTCGATTTAATTCATTACAGGACTTTCGCTGATAGAATGAAACCTAGTGAAATCCCCGAGACATAACTGCCTAGACTATATCTGCGCTATGCACTCTATGGTTAATATTTACAACCTTGTTACAGGTCTGTCTTATGGCTCGTAAATCTCCTAAGATTTATGTCTATCAAATAAGTAACATAATGATGTTCACCTATTACAGAAAGTATTAAATACAGCAGTTATGCGTGTACACCTGATTGTTGTAACACAGTGTTAAAAAAATATGGTTCGAAGGACAGTCCGGGACAACACAGACGAAACAGTACTACGCGTTCCTTTGCGCCCATAAACATCTATTGCGGTGTGCACATAAATAATTTTGTAGTATTTTGTTAATAGGAATATAACGTGTTTACCTGTAACCGTAAATGCCGGCCGAGTAGCGTGCACTTGAAATCGCGCCGATTACGATTACGTTTTGGACTAATAATAATATAAATGTAAATTTCGAGCGACGAAACGATAAATATTTTATGCGGCCACAAGTGACAAGCGTTGCAAGGATATTGTATAATGCGTGTTTATATATACACTGGCTCGAAAATATCAAATCAATCATAAAACCGAAGGCGGTAGTAATTTACCGCCGCTTCGCAGTAATTAATATTATAGTATTGATAACTACTGTACATCACAGGTGTGTTTCGAGAAGGGTCGAGTAGGAAGTGCCCACCCCTCTCGATGAACTGTTTATTTACAACAAAATCAAAACCGGATGAAAAAAATAGTCTTGCGGTCTGTACTCGGTACTGGCAATACCAATAGAGCACAGTACAGTAGTATGTGTTTTATTTTAGTTTTAAATGTATTTTTTTAAAGTTAATAGCAGTATTCCATAGTCTTATCTCTTTTCCTTTTATAATTATATTAATAAATATCCTCATTAATTCTATTTAAAAACGTAAAATTGTATTCTTAACAATAATCTCAATTATCTTACCTTAACATTCATTATTTAGTATCATTATTATCAATATTACTTATATTATAAATATGTTACTTATAAAATTTAAAACTGTCAAAATACTTGTAATAACACCCAGTGTGTTGAAACATTTTAAGTTATAATAAACGAAAAAAAAAAAAATTATTTTTATTGTTTTGATACGCCAATATACTTTTTGATTTTGATTAAAAAATATTCCTATAACTACAAGTTTTTTAACATAAAAAATAAACATTTCTTTATGGCTAAAAAAAAAAAAATTAGTTCTCATGGTTTTAACATTTTTTGTACCCCCTCGGCCACCAGTCTGAAAACGCGCCTGTGCTGTACATACAATATGATTCATCCCGCGCACAAGTTAAAAACTACAACTGCAATTGTGCAGGAATAAACACGCGGGCACAATGGCGATTTGGATGGAAATAAAAATTTATACTTATTTGCCTTGAACATTGCTACGTCTTCAAAATACGGTGCCGTATTTTTATTTTTATTTTGAATATATGCAATGGTTGTCAAGTTTCTTTAAATCGGTTATCGATAGCCATCGAGTGTCGGATTTAAACTAACGTCACGACTTAGAACAGTTTTACGCTTGAAAATGTCGAACGATAACATATCTTCCGGTAACGTCTACGCGAACAAATAATCGAATTCCATTTCAAACCGTTCAATTATCTAACATATAATTGTTATTTAGAATTCGCGCAGCGTAACGGGAAAACGCGTTAAGACGCGTTCACTTCGGATTACCCTCGCGGCGCGGGTTTTATAGAACCTGCAGCAGTACACAAAATCTAATCACGACCATTTCGAGCGAAACATTTTAACATTATTATTGTTCTAGTTCGGTCTGTTATACTCGATACTCTCAACAATGATCAGTTCACTAAGTGTTTGTTGTTATGTGATGTGTGCACTGCGGAGGAGTTGGTGGCTGTTTTTTTTTTTCAAAAACCTTTTAATATCCGTTATCCGATTCGTGCGTTGCATGTTCGTGTTTAGTTTCGAAATGGGTTTCCTGTCCATTAGAAATCCATCGGATTAAATAGGACGTACTGTTGCTGAACGGTTTTCTACCTCGAGCCAATTAAACCATCCTATAATAATTTCTGTATGTATCACATTTACTTATTATAATTGTCGTACATAGATTGTAAATACAATTTTAATATTAATAAAAAATAATAGGGTCGAAAAACAGACTGGTGGTCATTGTCCGCTGCGGCGCCGTAAAATACTATTTCGTTCGCGAATTAATCATTTAAATCGGTGGCACAGATGAACACCCGGACGATGTTTTTGCACCATTTCTGTGACCTCGCGTCAATGAACAAATTTTACGTAGCAGTTGTTGTGGAAGAGAGTTCATGAACGTTTCCAAATATGTATAATATTCTGTTTATTCGTCGCCCGCTGACTACATGTACTACGCGTACGAGCGAGGGACCGTATAAGATAAATTCGCTATCGTCAAAGTGATTTAAATTAAAAAATGACACCCACAGTTATATACACCACCCGCCACCCTGCTAAAGCTACCGCAAATGCCGCTCAGTCATCACCACCATCGCCTCTGCTCATTTTTCATTTTTATTTTTTATTTTCATTTTTTTTCTTCAATTTTTTTAATTTTATTTGCACCACCCGGTCGTTCACGTAACCTATCTATACTCTTTCCTTTTATCTTCCCGTTACTGGAATATTTTCCCGTAATATCCCTCTCCCCTTATACTTCCACTCATATATGTATTATTTAAAATTATGTTACATAATGATAAATTCATCACTATTAACTTTTAATACTGAATAACCCTACTACACCTCCTTTAATATTTTTCATGTGTATATTATTATTTTACCGAATTATATTAGTGTAATAATATAGTTATTTAAAGTGTTAATATTATCGAATCATTAGACTATACTTAGCAAATATATAACAGAAAGTTATTTTACATTCATTTATTGATTTATTGATTACATTTATTGATTCAAGAAAGACAATAAATATTTTTAAATTGATTTGCATGCCGGTCGAATTCTGTACGTTATACCATTTCTTATAATAAGATAAGCTATAGCAAGACATCTCTGCAAAAGCAACATTTAAATTAGTCGCTTTCCAGACATCACAACTAGTACAGGTCTTTTCTCATTTTTTTTCCGGGTGTTATAAAATATTACACTATGGCCAGTCAAATCACCAACAATTCTGCTGCTAAGAATTACAAATATATTTCACCTAGACCACAGAATAAGCCTCATCGATGCAACTACACTATAACGACTTCGCAAATTCATAAAAATTGGATTCGATTCTACAGATCAGTTCAACGTAGTCGCTTAAATTATAGATCCATCGCGTTACATCGTCATTGCACAATTTGACTTAATACATTGAGTATTTGCACTTCTGAGGAAATACTGATTTTATCATTTATACTCGATAAACCTGCAAGATATAAACATACTAACTTATTTTTAGAAACAGCTTCTATGCGTCTGTCTAGTATGGTATATTAGGGCAAAAGTTATAAAAGACGAAAATCGGGATGGCTGTCGTATACTACTAAATAGTTCAGATCTAATTACAACATTTAGAATGGTGCATATTCAAGTTAATGGTAGGTAAAAGTATATGTTTTTTGATGACTTGAAGAAGATAATGCTGTTGATCTCTTTGGTTGGTAAGAGTTCCATTAAATTATGTCATCAATGTTTTTGCTACGTCATTTACCACTTAAAATTTTTTAATTTTTTTCACACGCATCAAGATATTCGTTGTTATTTTTCCAAGCTTTTGGATGAATTTTTAAAAATTCAATTTTAATATTAATAACCATAAAAAGTTTATACGTATTATTTGTCAGAAATTCACTATTTAAAATAAGAATTTTTGATAGTTTTATTCTTGGTTCTGGGTTATCAGCCCCACATTTATCTAATGCTTTAGACATTTTGAGTTTAATTTCATCTGAAGCTCGCTAGTCAAAAAATACTAAGCCAATTAATGTATAACTAAGTGTAACTGTATAACTAAGATACCATAAATGTCCCGAAAATACTTTTAATGCCAATTTATAGATTCCATTACCTTATGCAGATCTTTTAAGAAATTCAAATCATTTAATGGTGCACTTGAAGCGTGCGTTATTGATATTTATCGTGAATGATTGTATGCCATTATCAGTATTTCTTCGGCAATAAATTGGATATCCGTCGACGTTTGTAACCGTGTCGTTATCTTGTTGGATTTACGAGTATTTGTCTGTTTTTTCTGTTTTACTATTTCACATGTTTGTTGTTCTATTCGTTTGACGGCGCAAATTGGCCTGCTTGCGTCTTGCTGTCATTGTTTATTGTAACAAACATACAAATCGACAAAATTGTTGTATTTACTGATGAGAAACGGTATTCCGATTATTTTATTTTATACTAGGTAACTCATTGAATTTTGTACCGCCTAACAGTTAATGAATATTTTAATTTTTAAATTTTTATATATTTTTTAGTTAAACTTAATTTATGATTTTCACTATCGTAATAAAATGATCACAAAAATATTATTAAGTTCGTAACCTTTCAGCCCCTTTTCTTTTTAGGGAGCTTAATTGTACCCACTAGCCGAGGGGAACACTCTGCTGGTGATCCACAGGCCAAATCGCGTATACGTATGCGATTGAGCTCGTGGGTTTCTTATTCACTTATGTTAAAATTTGAAAATATTGAATTGAATTTTATTTTATTACAATGATGATTAAATTAATAATAATAATAATAATAATAATAGTTTTTTACATGAAATAATAAATTTAAAATAAAAAAAAATGTATGTAATTGAAAGGAAATAGTCGGCAAAACAGGAGAGAGGGGGAATGCATTGGATATGATTTTTTGGCACTACGCGGCTCCGCGAACGGTTACCGGAGT